CACGTGCGACGCACGTGAAACAGTTTGCCCGTGGCCACACTCGTCTACGAGATAGGTTTTTCGGGCAAACCAGCGAGACTGATAGAGCATGCCACACTGGCAATAAAAATCGTCCGTGTCCGTGATACGCACTCCCCCCCCCCTCCACGCTCTCTGTACAGGTTAAAACTAGAAACGTCCGTGGAAAAAGTTCAGCAAAATAAGATGAGTGTGTTCACTCCCATAAGCCGCAATGCCCCGCGACTAGTTTTACGTGCAACGCCCGTGGGATGTTAGTAGAGAATACCCGTGCAATTCCGTTTGTCAGTCTCGCTGGTAAAACCAGCGAGACTGACAAACGCGTTCACGGACGTTTTTACTCTAGTGTGGCCTGCCCCATATACCGTAATGTATCTCTCAAACTCACGGGTAACGCCCGTGGAAAAAATTCAGCGAGATAAGACGAGTGTGGCCCCGGCCTGAGGATATTGAACGTTTTCCACACTAAAATGTATGTGGAACACGAGTGTGGACAAGTATGTGGTCACTAGTGTCTTTGACCTTGCAGACCTACTTTGATGGACCGTGTATCAAGTTTTGTTTTACTAAAAGAAAACACAATTAAAATATCTTTCTCGTAGATTGTGACGATCTATCTAGGCAAGAATGTTTCTTTAAAACCTTTTTTTCAGATCGTGTGCATCGCAGCGAAAATCTACACACACTGTTGGAAAGATATTTTCCTATAGATGTGCAGAATTTCTTCATAAATTAAAGGCTAAAAATTAACACAAAAATTAATTTAAATTTAAAAAAATATAACGTGGACCTTATGGGTTGCCATGCTGGTGACGAAATAACAACGCAATATAAACAGAAAATCAAAACAAATGCGAGAAATTCTAATCACGTGATTTTATTTACAGCGTAGGGTGAAAATAGAGAAGTCTGTACATTATATACTGTACATATTTTTGGTAGATTTTTCGACCACCGGACGACCTCTAGTATTCATAGACTTGAGTATGATTTCATTTACAATTTTAGTTTGGCTTGACAAATAAATTGTGTTTAAAGAAGAGCTGTACTTATAAACACTTTCAGTCGTCGGTTCCATCCACAAATTCCTTGTAATTCCAAAACCGCCTACAAGATGAATGCTGTTAAATAGAAATGTTAATCAAATATTTACTTCACGGTAAAGTATCAAGGCAGTAGGCCTATGCAAAATATGTAACTCTTTGGCAGTTGCCTATACGAGTAAATTGGCATCATCGTATACAATTCAGTGATTGGGACGACGAAAGTGAGAAAAATGCTGTATTGAATATATAAGAGCTAAGTTCCTACATAAATCCACTTGCTACACTTCTTCCAGCCTTTCATTGATAATTCTTCGATCGTGTATACACCCCGTGTACTAAAAGAATAATAAATTGAATAAAGTACAATCGCATAACTGATTTGTGGTGTAAATCACTTTGTAATTGTATTGAAAACTCTACTTATCGAATCTGCCAAACTCTTGAATTGAACAAAATCTCTCAAATATGTTTGGTGAACTCGAGGTCGACTGCGGGTTTGTGAAAACTTCATAGGCCCTACATTTAGACTGTGTGCACTAATAGCAACCAGTAAACCATGTAAATCACAGCTAGCAATCCTCCCTCATTTGTTACGCCTATAGTGCTCTAGCTCACCTATTCCCACTTTTTCAACTTACTTTCACACTCCCTCATCCATTGCTGCAAGTTACTCCAATCATTTCTGCCTCGCCATTTCTCCTTTGATTTGCGTCTTTAGCGGAACATTATGTAAACAAATTAAGCCTTTGCCGTTCACTTTCTTCTAACGACCACCTACACCGCCATTAATTCCACCAGGATGCATTCGCGCCATAATTGGTCCATTGTGATAAGATAAACCCTGCTGTCAGTTGTCGCTGTTTGCTGTATAAGGCGATCAGCTGATCTGCCGATGTCTGATAAGTTAGCTAACAGCTGATTTCTTCTGTAGGAGATTACAGCTGAGATTATCTCGGAGTTTAAAGTGTGTGTTTAATCGGCTTTCGGTAAAATTAGGATGTAGAATGTTTACGTGAAGCAGGTTGTTGGTAACGTTTCATTTTGTGTAAATGGTAGTGTTGGGAGAACAAGAGAAGTTTGGAAGAATCCTTGGTATATGGTGCAATGTTCTCTCAAGGCATCTGCAGTGATGTTTTGATTTTACGAACTAACCAAATACAGGCTGCAGTATACAGTATTGACAATTGATACTCATTGACATCTATACAGTAGGCCTACTTGCTTTCTTGCTTGCCAAACTGTTCCCTACTTCTTGGTATGGAATGGGCGACAACTGCTCTAGTTCAAACTAATACCTTCTCAACTATACACTTTCTACTTTCGTGTCAAAAAGTATAGTCGATTATGTCAAAACTTATGTATTAATCTTGACAAAACTTTTTGATAATCTAATATTTAGTAACTTAAGTTGTTTGAACGTGAATTTATTTGTTGTGATTGTTACTGAAAGATGTTATGTAGTAAATTAACTACTGTGGTTTATAATACAGTACCTATCTTTTATTGGTGTTTATAGTTTGTCGAAATCAGAACATCTACTAACCTACTGTATTTGTATACCAGAACCACGCTCATAAGCTAAACACATTATTTATACTAACTAAAATACATAACCACAATTTACAAATAAACGTATATCACGTGTACGCTAAAACCACTCATAGAACATAACCAGAAGTAGTATTTATAAGATGCAGCGAGTTTGTTGATCTTTAGTAGTAAATTCCGTAAATTCAGAGTGTTCAGCAGCGCCTAACAGAAACAGTGGCTGTTGCGTGAAGCAGATGTAATTTACATTCTGTGGTGTAATTATTTAAATCGCCGCTAAGAACTGTTGCGCCCAACGTAACTGTGGTAGGCGGGGAATTATTAAAAACCTACGGATGAACCAAGCTGTACAGTTCGGTTAGGTTGTTACGATCCTACTTTGGGATACTGTACATTTAACAATTGATTCGTCTATCGTTTGACTTCAACTTCAAGTCTCACAAATAAGATTGAACATTTAAAATTCCCTCTTGCACAAAGTGTGCAATTCAAGTTTCAAGTATCTGTGATCCAATTCAAGTACCACCAATCCTGAAGTTACCTGACACTTCTCAAAGACACGATCTACTGCGCCATATAGACCATGTAGTGTTGAACGTGTAGTAACACTACCCAGTCACACTCGGGTAGTTAGTGTGTGGTAGTGTGGTAGAAGTGTGACTCGTATCTGGTAACACAAGTCGGGGAAACGGCCTAAACCCACTACCGTAACACCACGTGTCTTCTAGGACAAAAGACAAACAAAAGGGGATTTTGCATGTGCATTATGGAAGAAGTAGCACTTTCATTCTTGGAGAGATTAAATTTGCTACTGGAACTGCATATTTTTTTAGGTTTGAATGATATCATATCACGTATGGTAAACCCGTACATGTAAAATAGGTACTGTAGTAAGGCATCGGTTTAGTCAATTCTGTGTACACATTCAGAATATAAGTGCGTGTAATCTTCCGTTAAAATTAGGATTCAATTTGAAATGTTTTTAGTTACTTTCATTCGTAGGCTCAATCAGCCCATCATCTATTTAAATTCTAGGCTACTAAATAAATTTTCAACTACTCGATAGCTCTGAAACTGTCTTTTGTCAATCCTATGATTGATTTTTGCAAAAAAACTTACATTTTAATAAATTTGGTAGTGATTCGGCTAAATTATATTAGGCGAACACAAAAAAATAAATATAAAAACGTTATAACAAACACAGCATAACCAATTATATGTGTATAAACTGTATTAAATCGTTGAGTCAATCAAGGATTAATTAAAGTCATGTTGACCGAAAGAAATAATTCAATGCTGTTGTAGCATTGAATTAATAATAAATTGTAAATAAGCAACATACCTATGTAGGCCTAATTGCTATCAGTTGCGAAAATTGGAATATTCGAGGTGAGCTAATGAATTAGAGCTAAGTAGTCAAGAAAATAAAGTTGACGAAAGCCAAACGAAGAATAAATTCTTCAAAGTCAATTATCACACCAAATCTGATAAAAGTCACACCAAACCCACCAAATGCTGATAAAAGTCTGCTTTTTGTCGTTATAAACTAAAAAGCTATTTTAGTCTCATATTGTAAATTTTTATTAATTGATCACGTCCAACAGGAGGACATTAAGATTACTCGTAATATTATCAAACAAAACACTGAAGATAAAACAAATCTTCAAACGTTGTACTGCAGAAAAACTATATGATAACCGGGATAATTACAACTCGTTACAAGGTGATAAAATGCAAAAGTTATTTTTGGCTCACTGAATCATTTTATTGGGCAATAAAAGTAAAGTTTTACCGCCGAATATAGACAGAGGCAGTAAACGCTTTATTGATGATAATAGGTCTTCTTTACTGTGACAATGATAAGTGTCTGTGTCTACTATTATTGCGATTGCGCATGAGTGGAACCTCAACAGCATACAGCAGAATTCATCGTGTGACGTCCCTGTCATAATTATAATTATATGGGGAACTCAAGAAGTTCAAGAAACATGAGTTAGTTATACAGTTAACAAGAGTTTTAAAAAGGTAGAATGAAGCAAAAACATCACAAGAACTACAGTAATAAACCTCCAAAATCATCCTTAAACGCATTTAAATTGAAAATAAAAATACTAAAAAAACATAATTTAACAACTAACTATTACGAGCCAAATAAATCAATTAACGAAAGCCCAAACAAAAACTGTCAATGTCCATGTGATGTGGTTGTCTCAAAATTAAGGAAAATTAAGGTAGGTAGGCCTACTCTTACAGTAATGTGAACATAGGCTAAATAGGTAAAACACCTACGAATAGAAAGAATACACTGCGTAAAAAAAACCAAAGAGAAAAAAGAAAAATTACTTCAAAAACTAACCAAAAATGCAACATCAATGTAAAAATACATACCATCATTGAAAAAGTTGAAGGTTAAAATAATCCAAAACAAAGTACAGCACACGATGTTTCACAGTACGCGGTCGCGGTCACTATCACATGATACGAGGTACGCGGTTTGATGGCACACTCGGTTTGATTGTCGTCGTAGGCAGGCACGAGCCCGACTGACTGTAGTAGAGGCAGGCACGACTCTCCGCCGCGGCGCTACGCCGTCCCCCACCAGAGTTGTGTCACTTCCTCCGGACCCTGGGTGACCATCCCGCATCCGTCCTACAGGTTATGCAAGGAACAAGGAGGCGCGCGGGCGGAGTTGTCATGTTTGGAGGCTTCAGTCATTCAAATTTGTCTATTGTAGTTTTCCTTTTGTACATGAACGGTTTGAGTCCTGGTTTTATTAATACAAAATCTGCATATCGTAGACAAATGGCAAAAGGACAAATTATTAGATCCAAAGTCGAATCCATACCGTTTAGGTTAGTTTTTTCTGCTCAAAATAAATCATAACACGTTTTAAACGATGTTTAAACCCAAACTCATGATCCCAAGATACAAATAGAGCGTAGGAGGATTTTACACGAAAAATAAAAGGGGGAAAAGAAATAAAACAAATTATCCTTATAATTGTGTGAGTTTTAATTAAGTTCATCATTCAGTTTTCATCTGCATATGCTGAAGAAAGCACTGCCGTTTTCCGTTAACGAAGTGCGTAAATTAGTTTTTGATATTTTATTTAGACCTCAGTCATAATTCGTCAAGGTCATGAGCTGTCATTATGTGTTGGGCTTAATGTTGCTAAATAATAAACTAACATAGCAAATAAACATTTCTGTACGTACATTTGTGCTATTTCTGACCAATAAACAGCATAAGCAATGACCACTTTTTAAACAACCATGATACTGTGTATACAAATTAATAAAAAGTTAATGAAAAATAACAATTCCTTTGAAGTTGAAGCCTCTCCCCCTTATTCTCAGGTAGTCAATAGGCCTTTGCAGGTACATTATTCCTTCATTATCTACTAACTCATGATCACATCACAAATTATTCAGTTACGTCAAGCCGTACATAAACCAAACCTGTAAAACATCAAAGACGTCCTCACTGCCGTTACAACGATAACTGTCACCAATTACTCACACGAAACACAACAAGTACAAGGTGGCATGATGTGTGCAGACGACAAGAACAGCTGTTCAGCAACAGCTGATCGACAAGTGTAAAGTGAGCAAGGTAATGGAATGAAAGCCCGGCCTGTCGCGGCAAATGTCGTATTTTACATATTGCTCAACATTGTTTCGAGTCAGCCAGCTATGCAGGGTCGTTTATGTCGGTGTAAATCGAATTCGAAGATTATTCAGCCGATAGTCTTCGTTATATTGTGTGTCGAATTGCGAGTTGCTGAATGGCTTATTGCTTTGGTTGGATTTTATTTAGTCTCGACAGGAATGTGAGTAAACTAATGCTGATTGGGTGGTTCGATGCTGATTTGCCTACTCCATACAGGTAGCAATTTTAAATGCTTTCAATTTAAAATTTCTGGACTAGAATTATATATTCATCCAACTCAATTGATTGTCATGTATTTTAAGAACATACTTCTGTACCAGACTGTATTTTAAACCTTAGGCCTCATGTCAGAGAGCCTATCCCTCACTCGCGTCGCTAATAAGGGCCAACCCCTTGGACTGAAAAAATCTGACCGTGTCAGAGGACCACTGCGGCCGAAACGAATGACTGAGTTGCACTTACTAGTTCCTTAGATGCCTTAGATGAGCATACTTTTTCGGAATAGTGCCTTTTTGAGCAGTGCCGCGCAACGCACAGTGACACTCCCGTATGTCACATGTTCTATATCCTACTGCTACTGCACCAGTACCGGAGATCTACTAGTGTGTAGGCTTAGCTGACCTACACTACTACACTAGGCTATCACTGCCATCGCGGATACGACATCTGGGCTAGCGTGACTGACTGAGGCCACGTCAAAACTGGTCGCGTTTCTGTCACTTATCCGACTGACTTCCTTTCTCAAATTGGCCTCATCTGTGACTTTTGCTGAAATGAGAGGGAAATAGGTGGAATCGTGGGTAATAGTGTAGGTTAAATATAGGCTCCGTCAACGGGTGTAATGAAGAGTTTGATAAAATAATGAAAGGAATGAGCCGTAAAGTTACAAGTTGAGTAGAAAAGTGTTAAGTGTTTCGTAATCCGATGTATATCAGTACCCTACATCAGAAAAAACACATTTTTCAAAATATAAGAAACGTGGATGAGACGTCTAAGTGTTGAACCAGAAATGCACAACAAGCAAAGTTCCATAAAAAACAATAAAATATAACAACAACTATATAGTCTACAGTCTACCATTAAATATCTTTTCAATTATAGCCTTACTAGCTATTACGAAATTACTTTAGGCTATAACAACAGTTTGATAAGGGATGGGTCTAAGACAAAACGATTATACTTTTTATAAGATTCCACCAAGTTTCCTTAACAATAAATTTGACAAAAACATCAAGCACTGATACAGCAATTCCGTATTGCAGACAGCTCAGTCTCAGTCTCATGAGTAACCACTCAATGTTATCTCTGACCCCAATTACTTATTGATAATCCAACACAAGAGGTTACATCACTTATCAGTTATCAGTCATAGAAATGCAAGACCGTTTCCCATAAAGTACTAAATTATCGTTTCATGTCTTATCAAACTGAAATATTAACGGTTGTTTTGAATTTGAATTTACTACGCGGAGATCAACCTCTTTATATGCTTTGTTGTAAAGATATTCATAGTTTCTACGATCACGTTTTATATATTAAACTTCCCGTCGATTCAATTATTTAATCTTCCATCCCTCGTCCCTAATATGAGTAACACATCATCAAAGGTTACATATTCATGCATTACACCAATAACGAGGTGGCCTGGGGCAGTGCCTCAACAGGTAAAAGTAAAAAAAAGTATAAATAGTAAAACTACTTTAATTATTTTATAAATAATATGTAGTTATACGCCAATTTTGTAATGGTTTACTAAGATTATGATCATCAGGTCGATCACAATTTGTAATGCAATAAAAAAAAAGGTTGTAGCAGATAGGTACTACCACTGACTATTGGATCCTGAAGAATTCAGCGCAATCAGTAGGTGGCTCACATCAACTACTACGATTTTGATAAAAAAGCTGGCTACAAATTTAACATGGGAATGGAATGTCTAGTTGTATTGATGGTTAAAGGTACTACTTCAAAAACATATTAATGATAAGTCCTCTACTTCAACATGCACTGTGTATGGCGAACCCAGTTGTGGAGCTGTAGTTTGTGAGGGTGACGGGCAAAAGAAAATGTTCTCTTATCTGTAGTTAACCTTATCAACTCTAGACCCCTCTAGCTAGACCTAACCGTGTTCTACAGCTGCATTGAATTTGTTTATCTCAAGTTATTTCGTAATTGAATGAACAAATGAGTAAATTCATGAATCTTCCGCCTGATCAGCTTTCCCAGAAGAATTAGCATTCGAATTTGGCCACACTCAAACTTGAACCCTTACATCATGACGTATTCTTTACATAACACATGTTTGTTGATGTATCAGACCCAGAGGCTATACTTGTGTATACAGCCTGCAGCGTTGTGTGTGTTTCACATATTGCGTCATCAAACAAGGAACCAATAATTATCAGCACATGGATCACATATCTTTAGAGCCCTTAGAGCATAGCTTTCCGAACTCATAAAACAATTAGAAAACTACTAAGGTCATTTCTAAATTGAAATAAATTGCTAAATTTTATGTTTTTTGTGTCAAAATTGGCAAAAACCTATTTATACCCCATAAACCCCCCCCCCCCCCGTAAACCACCGTTCCCATGGTCCGATCATGCTGGATCACGAACTCGTTCAAATAAACGTAGGTTTACACGCTTGTACCAAATTTCATCAAAATCGGATCATTTTTGCTCGAGTTATCGTGCTAACGGACATATCTACGAATTAAAAGGCTTGCCAACCTTCTAGATTTTTATGATAATAACTTCAAGATATTTATTGCCACCCACTCTCAATAAATTAATACCAGTGTCTTTAGCTGTCTAACATTTGGTCAATCTAATTAATTTAATTATTTCAATGGTCTCTCGGTGGTCCTGCCGTTTAAGCTGAATTATTGAGGTACTGCCACTGCCACACCAAACAGAAAACTTACTACCAAGCAATACAAAAAACTGCAATTTAAACTGCATCAGTCAACTATATAGATACCTTAGCTGATTATGTTTTCCAAATAATCAGACTATGGTCGCTTTTAAGCATAATTTTATCAAACTTCAATGATTTACCAGAGTTATCCCTATGAACGTACAAAATATAAACGTCCTTAACACATCCTTATCAAACTCATAAAAAAATACTAAGAAAAATATTTGTTTTAATCTGCCTTTGTTATTAATAGCTTCTATAAATTAAACATATACTTATTTTTAAATGTGAGGTATACTTGTTTATGTTCAATATAAAAAGCTTTAATATTCCTGTTAGGATGTGTAGAGAATGGTACAGTATTTTCATTACTTAAAAAGAATTAACTAAATATACTAAATTGATCATTTCTGATTGGTAAATAGCACCTGCATTTGTAAAGAAAATAAAAACAAAGAAAATATTACTGTATTTAAATTAAATACAGATCTAACTATAGTACACATTTTAATACATTAATAGATTTTTATTATATCTATAACGAACAAAGGTAGTCGTCATGCCATTCTATAAGATTTTAACAATAAAAGTACATTTTATCAAATCCATAGCAACGATATTTTCAGTGCTATTTCTGTGGTCCTTAAAGTCACATCGTATTGCATTTTGTCCAAACTTTTACATTTTTCTAACGTCTACACTTTCTAGATTTCATCCTTCATGATGATTTTGGACTTCGTCCGGTAAGTAAATACAAGTTTTAATATTTTATTGACTTGACAGTATAAGTTTGACTGCTTGATATCGAGGAATAACTGAATTGTTTGTTACCTGCGCTTGACTTGCATTTATTCATATTTTCCTTGAATATGGGAGTGTATTTTAATGTTTTGCTAAGTGTTTTAGGGTCAAAAGATTTAGTATGGCTAAGGTTTGCTAACTGGGTTGAATATCTGTAGGTACGGCATGTTTGCATACACTTGTAGTGAATAGGTGTTAAGTTGTAGACATATATGATTGGTCTGCTTCACTTTAGTTGTTAGTAAGTTAATAAGTTAAATGAGATTTGGGTTAAGTTTGTGCATTACCTTTTTTTCATTTTCTAGTTAACAATTCAAAATCTATGTAAAAAATAAAAATCCCAGATCAGTTTTTGTGTTGCTCTAAATACACACTAGCCTATCACTTGTTCAATGACCCTTGCTTGCGTTTGATTTTTAACTACTGTGTAATATTCAGAAAGGAGATTCAATCAACCTACCTTTACTATGTGTTTCAAAGCTGCCTTTACCCAAGTCATGTGAACACTCTGGGATGAATTGATTAGTCTAATGATCCAATGATTGATTTGTTCTCTTCGCCGGTGCTCCACCTCGTTGTGAGTGGCTTCGTCTGTCATCTCTAGGTTTGGTTTTGAGAAGAAGTGGACCTTGTGTTGACAGATTCACTTCGGATGTTCATATTTCGTTGAGATTAAGGTGCAGGGTTGTGTTGGTTCCGTGGTAAGAATATTTTGTGAGTGAGCAGAACACAAGTAGTTGACCATTGTCAGAGTTCTTATATCAGTGGCTTGCACTCTCTGGCCCTGGGAGCAGTTGTAGCTGTTACTGTTTGATGTGATGATTCATGGCACTTTGTCTATTTCCTATCCCCCGACTACCTTTGAAAGTCACACCATCCGCAGAACGTTTCTGGTATGAGATCCCTACCTCACTGTTATCTAGGTCCGTCCACAGTAATTAGAGTTCAATATTGTTTGTTGGTTAGTAATTCTTTCTTTTCCAAGATTTAGTATCACCTTTCTTTTGAGTTTACGATTTACATTCATTTCATTCATTTCAAAATAAACAAAAATTCAAATAAAAATCACAGCTGTCGCTGCAGACGAAAAGTAAGATTAAAATCAATTTATCACCGTACTGAAAGATAAATAAAATGCTAAAGGTGTACAACATTTTATAGAAGAAATTAATTTTCAAAAAGAATCCACGTCTGTGTTTGGAAATGTACCGATACAATCCGACTACTTCCACTAAGGCAAGTTAGTACCAATTCCGAAACACACAAATACTGGCTTATCCTGACCGTTTGTTTAGTGTTGTCAGACAATAGTCTTGTTAGCACCAACTTTCCAATTTGTTTTTGTTTCTCATATGAAGGATCTCTATGGTGGCCAGCTTACAACAAGCTCTAAACAAATATCCCAAGGTATGAAAGATTGGTACATCTCTTTTTAAATGCACCTGCAAATGTTTGAATTTATCTGTTAAGATGGACTTATCTCAGGATTTTGTATCCAACACGAATTTAAGTGTAGCAGCCTACAGTATGTGAATAGCTAAAATATCTATGTATTCCCAAATTGAGTTCAACCAAAGGTCCAATATAGGTAACAAAGTTTATTACTTACAACTTTATCAAATCCATGGTAACCATCAGGTCAGAGTATTTTCTACAACCTTTGGAACTACTAGCATATTTTTATAGCCTCTATTTTTACAAGTTTTATCTGCTGCTTATATACTATTTTCTAATTTTCTACGTTCATGATGGTCCTTAACTTTGTTCGGTGAGTAATGTTTTTTTCAATATTATAATGTACATTTTAATTATGCTGTTTCATTAAAGATAATTACACGATTTCTTCATTTGGAAATTTCCTATCCTTGAGTCCACAAAGAGAAGAAAGATAGTTTTATATTTTGGTGTACCATATTGTCTTATAATATTAAAAAACGTGTTTGTAGGATGTTTGTAGTATTGTAAGATGTTAGAATAATAATGTTTGGTGTCTTAGTTGTATTGAGTAAAAATGACTCATAACAAACTGTTAACTAAACATAATGCAGTTTCAATCTCCTCAACTAAACTCATTCTAATGGCATTTACGAATGATTGGATGAGTAATTATGTTTCCATGTATTATAATTAATAATAGTATAATAGTGTATTTTAATGGTGTATTAATAGTGTATGTAATTATAATTAACAAACTAAAAGTCTTGTTGTTTCTTGCACTTGATATTTTTTTAATGTTTTATAGGGTCAATTTTGCACTCATAGTCTAAATACTCATAATTAAAGTCTCATTACTGGAAATAGAACACATGGTATTTGGAGAATCTTATGTGGCGATCTTTTTATTTGTTACCAACGATATGTTACTGGATGAACTATGCACTACTTACATGCACCCTCAGTTAAATCTAGTAGTTGAATCGATAAAAAAGGTTGTATTTATTAAAATAAATACATGTTCAGGGACCACCCGATCCTCTGTTTGCTCGCTGCCGGCTGCACTGCCTCGCTGGGGTACGTCTGGATGACGAGAGAGCGCCCGCCTGCACCTGCACCAACCCCACCACCAACACCAAGCCCCTCCGTCAGCTCCTCGTCCAGCGACAGCCAAATCTTCTATTCTGCGAACGAGGAGCTGGACGTGAGTATTCATATTGATTGAGATTGTTTAATTTCTTAGGAAAGCTTTCGCAAAAGATTGAGTTTAAGAATGGAAGTATCATGTAAAGAGTATCATAAAACCAAAAACCCTGTTCGATGAAACAGTAATAGATTGGATATTATTAATGCTATGTAATTAAAAGCAATGGCATGGGGTCTGCCAACAGAAATATTTCAGATTTAAATACGGAAATTTGGCATAATATGATGTATCATAGCATTATGAGTGAAAATAAGTGGTTACTAATAATCAAAATACAAACTTTTAGACTTATATTTTTGAGTTTTCCAATGATTATTTTCTGATATATTTATATATTTACAAATTGATATATTTACTTGACATTTAATCCTTAGATTGTGCGTCTCATATTAGAGGATAATCTCAAACAAAGATCCCTTCCATGAACGAGTCTAGCTGGTTATTATTTAGTTGGAACTGAGAAGTATTCACTATGAGTTCAAGCCAGAAATACATTTTACTAATGTATGTGCAAATATGTTTACAGGACGTTTTGCCAGAGGTGCAGGTGCAGGGCCCCAGCGGGGACCATTAAGACAAACAAGCTACAGAGACACAATCACCCACGACCATCTAGGGTAACAGTGCAGCCGGACAGTAAGGAGGAACAAACAGGCTAAACAGAAGAAAACAGAAGAAAAGAAAGGGCCATTCCCTAAAGGCGCAGAACACGCGCAAAGAAGCAAAGAAAGGGGCCATGCCCAAAAGGCGCAGAACACGCGCAAAGAAGAAAAGGAAGGGGCCATTCCCAAAAGGCGCAGAACACGCGCAAAGAAGAAAAGAAAGGGGCCATGCCCAAAAGGCGCAGAACACGCGCAAAGAAGAAAAGAAAGGGGCCATGCCCAAAAGGCGCAGAACACGCGCAAAGAAGAAAAGAAAGGGGCAACAACAAGAAACTTAAAGAAACTCAGGTCCAAACACAGACAGGACATAGAAACATAGAAGGATGAGTAAAGAAGTTAAAAACAAAGAACGGGGCAGCAACAAGTAACTAACCTATAAAGCAAACAAGATCAATAATTGACAAACCTCTGCATTTTTTATGTTGAAGAGTTACATTTGAAAAATAAACTCGATTACAATGAAATAAATCTCTTTTGTCTTGCTATGAAATTTGGAGGTTACAAATTTATATATAAAAGTTTTGAATTCTTCCATTAAAAGTGAAAAATTGAAATTAAAAACCGTTGTCACACTAAACTAAATAAATTCACGCATAAACTTTTCATAAAAAAATATTTGGGTCCCACCAACTTGGGCCCATCAACTTTCTTAGTGGTGATGTTGCTTATGAATGTGAATTCGCAATACTTATTCTTATTGAAATCACATTACACTAACACTAAGTTGAGTTTTTAAAAGAATATCACTTGGGCAACTTGATTCAAGTTACAGTTAGTAGTAGTATTAACTTGTTTTAAACACACGTTATATCTTCAAGAAAAACTGTTAACATTTTTTTTCATCACAATTTTATTTACAATCTGTTCATTTTTAGAACATTCAGCAAATACAATAACAACTATTATTGGTTTGAAAATAATTTAAAATAGAACCTGCACCGATATTTAAAAAAAACTTATGAGTGCTTTCGCCAGCTATTCTGTCATCATCAGACGTTGTAGTAATAGAGATCGATGCATCAGACACATCACAAAAACTGAAGGTTATGTTTACAATAATAAATGTTAAAAATAACAAACATATGGGTAGGGTAAGTTAAAAGGAATATTATGTTAAGTACATTAAGGTAAAATTATAAAAATAATTAATAATACAAATAATAAATAATTATACAAAAATAAAATCTGAAGTAAGTTTAGTCTAATGGGTTAGTTGAACTCTTACAGCTTTGTTAATTTTGAAATTAGTAATTTTGAATTTAGTAATGTTACTTTTGAATAGGACCATTATCTTATTTACTACACTGTCTATTTTATTTATGAATAATGATTCCCAAGCGTTAGGTTCGTTGGGTTTGGTTACATTTTTCAGCGAATTAGTATTTTTAATTGAAATTAATTGTATGGTCTTTTTCTAAACAATGTTTCGCTAAAGCTGATCTTTCTGGTCTGTTTGTCTAATTTAATTTTAGGATTTTCAATAGTATTTTTTATTTAGTCTATTGTTAAAATGAAACAATTAATTTAGCATTTTCTCAAATGTTTTCTTGATGTCTTTATAATACGTTGTATAGGTGGTGTTCATCCATTGTTTCTTTCCCTTTCTCGGTTCTAGTTTCGTTATTTTCTTTTTATTATTTCTTTTTAAAGCTTTTATCAACATGTTGTATATCATTTTGGTCTCATACCCATTATATTTATTTATAAATTTTAATTCTTTGTTATAATTATCTTCAGATAGTGGAGTATTTAGGAGGCGATAAATCATTGAATTGAAAACCAATCAGTTTACATTTTAAATTACACGATATATCATAATCTATTGATATTAGCCTACTCCATTTGGCGCTAAACTACAGAACTGATGTATAACTTTTTATTTTCGAATAGACACTAAAACTTGACTCACCATTTGTCAAATATTAACGTATAACATTTACGGTACATAACGTTAATAGCCTGGTGAGTTGTGTTTTGCCGACGCCTCGCGCTAAAGTTATTGGAGATGCGTGGTAGTTAGGTAATTGTTTTGTTTGGTTATATTTCTACTGTAGAATTGACGAATGAATTGGTAGAATTTACAGTACTTACGCTACTACACATTTCACAATTCACAAAAAAATTACGTGTTATATTAAATCAATTCACCGCCGTACCAGCCTGTATGTGTGAGGTCCCAGCATCGTGTGGCCAAGTTATGCGGCTCACTCCACATAATGTATCAGTAACCACATGCCGTGGTCTGTGTTGGTAAATCAGCTGAGTTATGGAGCCAAAACTGAGCCCAGCCTTCACCTTGGATCAGGTTTCTTTTCCTTTCCCTCGCGAGCGCAAAATTGCGAAAACAAGTTCAGCTGTGATATACTGGTACACTTGCCTCGTGGTATTTCACTTGGGATATTTAGATAGGTATAGTTGGTTGGCTGAATTGAAGGAATTTCAGTATGGTTGCATGATTGATTCTTTCCTCTGCAAACTTTTGGAACAAAGAGTTATATAGGAAATTAAAATTAATGCACAAGTTTAGGATCTTACGATCAAATCAATCCTTCGATAAAAGTCCCTAAAAATGTCAAGAACTCTAAATAATAACTTTGAATTCAGCGAACGCTAATAGGAAAGCCTCTAGCGAAAATGTAGTAAAATAAATACTTCCAACGACATTGTAATTTTGGCCCAAACTTTTACTTAACACCACTCAAGACTACCTCACTGTAGAGAGCGCATTACCCTCTCTTTCCCATGTTATATAGATACTGAAGTGACCGTCCCATCATGTAATGGGCTCAGTGATGGCGCGTTAACGTTTATCTGCTCTTTACTGCGTTTTAACAACTTCCACGTTATTTTAAACGGTCCCAGAGCGACTGGCCTTACAGGGAGACGAACTGATGAAGTTCAAACTTCTTTAGTATGGTTAAGTAAATAGCGGCGCGTTTTTGACAAATAAATTTTGTTGCACAGAAGAACCTGGCAATACCGAGTCTATCCAATCATACGTGGATCCTTTAGCTAACGGTACCTACCGATTGTTTAAACTGTAATCTCAACTAATCAAGTTGAAATCGAAGTATAATCTCGTATTTCACCCCAAACAAATGAAATGTCTCTTATCAGTGCTTAAACTTGTATTGTTGCAACTTTCAACAAGGATGTATCAATAACTACATACCACAGCACTTTAACAACGGAAATGAACACTTTTAATTGGGGGACTCGGAACCACTGGGTTACTGAATTACCACAAAATACAAAGGCAATCAATTGGCGATTTACAGGATTTAAACCCTGTCCTCCAAAAAAATAGATACCATTCTCTAAAAAATAGTCTCGACCTCATTGTAAGAAGTTGGGTGTGTGATGTATATAGTAAAAGTCAAGCTAAATATGATGCATTGTATGGTTACATGCGTGAAATAAATATTAACAAACTGCAGACCTATAGTTGAGCCTTTTCTATGTTGGAAATGCCTACAACAGTGGTGGTTTATAACAAGAAACATCAATCTGTCTATAAGAATAGACAATCCATAAACCTATATTTTATATGAATATTTTGGGAATCGTCTCGTAAGATTTCGTCATAAGACCATTAGGCAACACGCCAAATATGACCTATTCATATTTAATTCACTTGTCAATTATGAAAAAACTGTATAGTTGCGCCAATTAACCCGTACAAACCAAAATAATTTATAATTTCATTGTTAAAACATTTTCAATTACATCACTTTCACAACAGTGAAATTAATAAGACAATGACAATGAATAAGAAATATAACATAAGGGACAAATAAATGTCCGAAAATTGTAGCCATCGAAAATAAAAATATCAATTTACTATACTATTATTATTTACTAATATTACTTATTATTTTATTTTAGTTCAAACCGAATGTTATATTAGGCTACTCAAGAGCTAATGCTAAACAAATAAAAAATCAACGGTCTTTCAATTATTAAATGTTACCTCTAAGTTGTCTTAAATTATTTTAAATTTACATACAACACAACGTACCTGTAAGTAGGCCTGGAGCATGTTGATGCGATGCTCGCTGCGTATCGTCTGGTCTGGGTAAATACAATTAGGTGATATAACTGCATAAACTTCACTCGCTTTTAGGCCTGTTTGCGAATCGGTAAGGCTTCGCGTCATGTACCAAATACGTAATAATAGAAGAATTGGATTATCTTGGGTTTCGTGCCAAATACTGCACATTTTGGCACAAAAAGTGTCTGGAGTGTATGATAACTTCACTCATTCGGGAATTAATGTAGAAGTGGCAAGCATGATGCACAACCGGTAAATGAAATTCAATAGCTGTAACAACTAATATCAAAATCAATCGAAACAAAACCAAAAATTAAAAAAAAATGTGACCAACTTGTCCACACAACACCACACAATCACAACACGATAGCTATAATAGCCAATTGGCTATTTTTGGTTCTAAAAATCTCTTTTTTATGAACGTGTAGTTGTGTTCTATTCAAACCCAATTTTATTTTCTACTGAAGATTTCTTTCAAATGTTAAAGGATATTAGGATTTATTTTTTCATTGATACTGCTAACAAAATATGGGTACAGTCAATTTTCGCTACTTGCAGGAAGTTTCAAACAGTCTTCAGGTGGGTAGAACGATCCTGGCGGGAATAAGAACGATACCAACATCTTATTCTTATGACAACGTCAGTCATACAAGAAAATGGTGAAAGCTTAAAACTACTTTCAAACCATTATTAATCTACGCGATTTATTCCAGTTCAGAATTCACAATAAATTAGTTCTCTATAAACTATAAAAATGCAGTAGAGTGGCCAACCTTCCCCAAATTAGACAAAGGAGGTTAGGTAATATAGTATACTATTTCCGAACCTAGATGCAATAGAACAGGAGAAACAGCCCCTTCGTACGACTTTATAAGGTCCTGGAGGTCTTGGAACAATAATTGTGTGTTCAATCTCCACTTCGAGTTGTAAAGCGAAAATGATTGAATCATGAGCTTAGAACATTACAAGCTCTCTAGTTGGTCAGTAGATTTCATAGCGTTCCCATCAACAGAGGCTGTACGAGTGATTCATGATACAGTATTGCACCGTGGGAAGCAAGGGGCGATGGGCTCGTAAACTAGTTGAAACTGCAACTGACGTATAACGGCAATAGACAGAACCGCCTACACTGACTTGTGTGACCTCGCTGCTGCAGAATACAGAACTTACTGGGCTGGGCGACCACAGGCGATGTACGGTACTTCAGCTCTGTCTTACAAATCTATGTTAGAAATGGCAAAAACCACCGCAAAATTAAGAAACAGATTTGCTGAACAGAGGTTAGACACCTATGCAGCTTTCGGCAAATTCGGGTTTGCGAACTGGCTGTGATAGGCGATCTGATCGAATCAAAGTAATTCTCAGAAGAAAATGTTGTGTATGCTACAACTGTTAGTTTAAAT